CACTCGCTCTCGACTATCAGGCAACCAATCACACAACGCGCTCGGTGAGATCGATCCTATCCTCCCTCTCCTCCCCCAGTACTCGTGCCAACTCAATCCTAGCACACCCAGATCCCATCAGGATTGCCCTCCAGCCGGCCAGCACTAGTCACAGTGGCCATCAATCAAAGGATGCAGGCGATCAACAGACGACTGTCAAGCAAGACCCAGTCACTCAGGAAACATCCTCTTTCCCTTCAGCTTCAGTGCCACCCTCCTCAGAAATCTCCAGCGCGCTTTCCAGAGCACTGTCGACTACCCTCTCCAGATCATTCAGTCGGACTACTCATACTAATAATACGAGTGCTCATCAACATCCTCTCAAGAAATGGCTAGTCTCCAAGTATCCACAAGGTTCATCCCCCTCTTCCACCACCGCTGCAAATAATAACAATAATAATAACCAGCATCACACTCATTCCTCAACTGATCACCCTCAAAAGTCGATCCTCAAGAAGAAGAAGTCTGCCCCGTCGAGCCAATTCGGGATCGGCAGCGGGATCGGCTCGACTGACCAGCCGATGAAGAAACATCCTACCTCGACCTCCTTCCTCAACCTGATCAACAAGAAACATCACACCAAGTTCCTCGATCCTCTCCCCCATCCTGATCAGCTTGATCAGCACGACGTGCTGATGAAATCGAGAAGCCACTCGATCATCCAGGCCGATCGGGCCCACTTCCTCGTCGTCCCCAAGATACTCACCTCCGCCAATCATCGTGAGTTTAATAGGACTTCCGATTGCATATCTGCCGCAGCTGTAAAACTAAACACACACACATATATCTTTCTCTTAAGACGAACAGCAGAAACCCATTCCAAACCAGGGTGGAACTCCCTCTCCTCATCCTTCACCACATCCAACCGACCTCCATCAACTGCATCCTCCCCTGCCCCCTGCTCTTCCTCAATTTCTTCGCAACCAGTCTTCCTTCTACTTCAACCATCAGCTGTCTGATGACTCAGGGAGAGCCTGTTGAGATCAACAACATCACTTTCGAACGTCAGTATTACTATTTTTTTTTTTTCATCTTGGGAAATCCTCCTTTCTTTTTCCTCCTTCTCTCTGTCTCTCTCTCCTCTTCTCTATCGTCCTCTTCATCGCCTCTAGATTATAAGCTTCTTCCCCTCTTGGCCTCTTCTTTTCCTAACTCTCTCTCTCTCTCTTTCCTCTCTTTTTGATTCCTTTTTTTTCGCATCATCCGTATTTGAATTCCCGGATAATTCACCAAAAAAAAAAAACTTAGAGCCAGTTGAACCATATATTCATCGCAAATGATTCTTCTCGTTTCATATAGTTCTGTTCTTATGAAGACCAATAAAAAAATGGATCTGAATAAGCGCGGACTCGCCAAGATATCGCGAGTCTTTTCACGTACATTGATTCATTAGCATTCGTCCTTAGAAACCAATCTTGGAAGTGGATGACTATGCCTCCTGATCTCGGATCTGTACAAACCCCATGATCCATCTACATATCCATTTTTTTTTCTTCTTCTTCTTCTAGGAACTGCGCTTTTTAACGCTCCAATTTATCCTCTGCATTTCAAGAACTCGAAAACAAGCACTCATGATGATGATATCGGCATCCATCGGCTGTTTTAGATGTATGCACACTCGGGAATTAGGGCATGCATAAATTGGATATGTATTTAGCATGAATAATGCGAGATGTTGTTGAACTTTCTTTAATAAGATTCGATCGACATCTGGAGTTGAGTGAACTGTCACTGAACTGCAAAATGTATGCGCACCAAGTTTCATCTTATCGCTCCGATCGGAACATTGTATTTTCATGACGTCGCGGAGTTGAGGGCTGTCTTGAGGGTAAAATTGCAGGTTTTCTTTCACGAATGATTGCCCACACATACACAGTCAGCTCGTAGGGTTCTGTGAAGAGACAAGTGGTTTTGTAAGGGTTCTTTAGAGAACTGATAAATTGTGTTGGGAGCTGTTGTTCATCATGGGACGTGTCTTGTCCAGCTGGGTTTATTTTTTCTGATTCTTTTGTTGACCAAATCCGAACCCACACTTGAGCACTCTGCTTAATGGCTGGGAAAGGATCTCCTCCGGCGTCTCCATGTCTCTTCCTCCCATCTTCACTCTCCACCTCCACGTCTCTTTCCAGTCTCCTTGTTAACATTCAAATAAGTTCTCTTTTATCGATCGCCTCTTCCGTTATATCATCCACTGCTCTGGTGACTGTGAACACATAAATAGCTCTCTTCAACCAGTTGGCATCTTTGCTTTGCTCAGCCCTCAGCAGCTTCCCGTATTATTTACATGTTTTTTTTTTTTTTTTTTTTTTCATTTTATAAGATAACCCAAATCTTTAGCTTGCCCTCAAGCCTGGAAACTACTGACCCACGTTTTAGCTCTGCAACTTGTTGCAACACACAAGCCCCTACCAACAACGACTGGTTGACGTTCAAATCCATCCACACTACGCCGGTGGTTTGGCAATCCAATCTATCGTATATCTTTTAATTCAATTTCCATCGCTGTATTCGATCTCGTTTCCTCTTTTTTTTTTTTCTTCTTGGTTGATTCTTGGTCGTTCAATACGACCGGGGGGGACGAAGGTCGCAGATAGTCATTGGTAACGAGTCAAGGACTTGAAATCTTTTAAGCTGTTGACGTTGACGCTGAAACTGGGAGCTCAAACCCCATCTTGAGCTCTTTTTGTACTACAACCTCTCCTGTTGCCCTGAGCTACACGAGGACCACCTCAACATCATAGTACAGCAACATCCTCTCTCGACTCCCCAAGCCATATCACAGTATCACTACATCCCAATATTGTCATATAAACAATTGTCCCAGTGAACAATCAACTTGCGCCGCTTTCCTTCTTCGGCAAAGCTTCCCGCGACCAACTCTCTCGCTGCTCCTCCTCACCCGCAACCCTCTTCCTTCCCTCATCCTCCTCCTCCTCCACATCATCAACAACAACAACAACACTTTTCTCTCTTTCTCTGTCAATAGCTCTCATCTTCAAACCTAGCAAGATGTCAACCTTTGACCCCATGACAGTCAACCAAGCCGACTTGACATTCAACCATCCACCACCACCCAAGTATGCACCTCCTGCCTCTACTGACTTGCCCAACCTTGTCTCCCCAATGATCCAACCTCCGACTCCACTTGGACCCTCCACTCCACTGTCTCACTCAACAACACCATCCTCGGCCAACCATCAACTTCACCCCCAACAACAACAACAACAACAATCCCACCTACTCCAACAACAACAACTACAACAATACCAACAACATCAACACCAACAACACGAACTACTCAAACAACAACAACAACAACTCAAACAACAACAACAACAACTCAAACAACAACAACACGAACTACTCTTACAACAACAACAACAACCAACCAACCCTCACTTTCCCGCCTCTTCACCCATACCTGTTTCCACTCCCCTAGAATCCAATCCCAGTAGTTCTCAAGCTTCCGATCCAACCAAAACTCCTCGCAAGACCAGCTCGCGTTATGCACTGGCCGACTTTGATCTCATTCGCACCCTCGGCACTGGCTCATTCGGTCGAGTGCATCTCTCCAAATCTCGTCACAACGGTAGAGGTTACGCGATCAAGGTAAGCTTACTTCGCGCTCTATCAGAATACTACCACTCTTAAGTCCCTCTTAGCGTGATGATCTCAAAAATACCTCGTACCACAGGTTTTGAATAAAAAACGCGTCGTCGGTCTCAAGCAAGTCGAACATACAAACTCGGAGCGACAGATGTTGGCTGCTGTTCGACACCCTTTCCTCGTCAATCTCTGGGGGACATTCGCTGATTCTTACAATCTTTACATGGTCATGGTACGCATCATCTTCAATTGATTTCTGTCTTGAAACTTATGCCCTCCTCGCTTTGTAGGACTTCGTTTCTGGTGGTGAATTATTCAACCTGTTACGTAAGAGTCAGGTACGTACTAGTATTCCAACCACAAATATGGGATGGAAAAAAAGGTGGTTGGTTGTCCCTGACATGATGTTGTTCGAACAACAGAGATTTCCCGATCCGGTGGCCAAATTCTTTGGAGCCGAAGTAGCCCTGGCACTAGACTACTTGCACTGTTTGGATATCGTTTATCGAGACTTGAAACCAGAGAATATTTTACTTGGATCGGACGGACATATCAAGATCACCGATTTTGGATTCGCCAAACTTGTACCGGATATCACCTGGACCCTTTGTGGGACACCCGATTATCTTGCCCCTGAAATAGTCCAGTCTAAGGGGTACAATAAGAGTGTGGATTGGTATGCACTTGGGGTTCTGATCTTCGAAATGCTCGCTGGTTACCCGCCGTTTTATTGTGAAGGTACGCTTTATGTTTCAACTCTCCAGTCGATCAGGGGTACTGATCAGTTCTACGGATCAAACAGAGGAGAGTCCGATGAGGTTGTACGAAAAGATCATTGCCGGCAAAGTTCGGTATCCCTCATACTTCAATCCATCTGCCAAGGACCTCTTGAAGTCGCTCCTGACCGCCGATCTATCGAAGAGGTTCGGAAACTTGGCCAATGGATCTCGCGACATCTTTCATCATGGCTGGTTTGCCGAAGTGGATTGGGAACGTCTCTATCGTAAACAGATCCCAGCACCTTACGTTCCTCGGGTTAGCTCGGAATGGGACGCTTCGAATTTCGATCATTACGATGAGGCATCACTTGAGGAGTACGGCAAAGTCGGAGAGGATCCTTATGGTCATCTCTTCCCCGGCTTTTAGATGTTCTTTTTCAACTCCTGATCTCGATCGTTCATTATCAAGCAACTCCTTTTACGCCTTCACTTAATCTTGATTGAATTTTGTTTGATTTTTTCATCAACGCAAATTTAATTCTTCTTCCTTTGTTTAGTACTCAAGACTGTGTACATAAAACAAGTGTCGGTTCGGGATGTTCTTTTTCTATTCTCGTGGATCGATTACCTTTTTTGCCCCTCCCCCCCCCCCCCCCTCATTCCCTTCTCGTCCCCCCTTTTATTTCTTATATTTTGGTTTGTCTAAAAGGGCTTTTTCTTTGTCTCAAACTTATAACGGTTCATTTCTTTAATCCTATTCTCCCTGTTGTTTCTTTTTTCTTTTTTTGCTTCCAATCAACAGGGGTCATTATACAACCAAATGAATTTAAGCTACATATGTGCAAAGATGTGAGGAACGAGAACATGAAGATCTGATAGAATCATTGGTGTGATGCCTGGAGATTTTTTTTCTCCCTTTCAACTAAGTTTGAAGAACTATGAACCATATAAACTACACTGTTTCCACTTGACATCAGCATCTTTCAAAACTCTTAACAAGCTGATTGAACCACCTCCCAGATCTCTTGGTGCAGGATGGCATCTGGTAAGTCAACCTGAGGATCTGTAATGGGTGTCTCATGCCATGTGTTCATACCAAGAACAATATCTTGGGTGTGGGATATGTCCACATGTCCCTTTATATTTTTTTTTTTGAATTGTACACAAGCATGCTGTCCAGCTTGAGTATACATGCTTCCAAAAGGGATTGGGGTGTTCCTTGGTTTTGTTGGTTTGGGAAATCCCCCCCCCCATAAGCAATCAATATACAGTCAACAATGCTGTAACACATAGTCTTGTTTACCCATACTCTCCAATATGTAATGCTGAAATGGTCCACCAAACCACTGATTTTAGTGTAAAACCCTCTCCAATAACCTCTACTCCAACCCATGGCATTTTGTGTCCACCAAGGGGGATGGGTTCAAGCAGAGTTGACCATAGTTGAGATTTTTTTTTTTTGAAAAAAAAAAT